AATTTAATTTTTTCGTTTTGTCTTTTACGCATTAAACGCGCGTAAAAATAATAATAATAATAACGATGATGATAATAATAAATTCCTGACGTTCGACGGCCCAGTCGGTGCGTATTTCGTGTTTGTGTGTGTGTGTGTGCATGCTTGTTTTTTGTCCTCTGTATTTTCTATGGCATCTCCGCCATACCATCCAGCAGGTCTTGCTGTAGCACACTGTAGAGTTGAGGAAGTTACATATTTTGGAAAATTTAATCACATTWCAAATTACCTTTCAAAATTGTAATCAAATTGTTCCTGAGTTGTTTTTTTTCTACTATTTATTCAAGTTATAGTAATTTATTGAKTTGAAGAAATAACTCCATTACAATATTAAAGTTTTTGTTTCTTAATATCAAAAATATCACTAGAGTAACTCTAGTAAAGTTTAACAACCATGTTGTAAATACATTAAATATACATTCGTAGCATTGAATTTAACACGCGATAATATACATAATTTGTTTAAGAACACAAGAAGACAATAATAATGGCTAAACCGATAATAATTTATTCGTATTATATTTCTAAAATATAAAACAATRCATTTTAAAAAGTTACTAATTAAAACTACAACTTTTTAAGAATAAAACTTTTTTATGAAATAGTAAGTCTATTATAAATATGTTTTTGCCAGAAAATATTTTTTTATGATATATTTATACATAATATATTATCAATCGGTTCATAAATACGTWAAAAAAATTAAGTAATGACCAGCTATATAGTAATTTTATTACAAAAAAAAAGAATTTTGTTATAGTAAGKAACTTATAACTAACTTATATACTAACTAAAGAAAATTGAGTGTTCATCGTTATGTCGTGATATACGGTCGACAGTCGGTCGGTGGTCATGGTGTGGAAAATAAGGGYCATATTTATAGTCAATTATTAAGAATAAGTATTGCTTAAGTCCTGCTTATGACTTAAATGAGACTCATGAATAATTCTTGAGCTTAAAAAAATGAAAAATACAACTYATTTAGAAGATTTTAAAAAGGCTGGTCTCGTCAATGCTTAAGAATTTCTTTTAATGATAATGACATAATAATACGAGGTATGTTTATGATTATTTTTGTTTTTGATCATATCACATTGAATTTATAAAAATTAAAAATATGGATGTAATATAGACTTTTTAGAATTACTTAGTTTTTACTATCATGATACTGAAGAAAATAATGAACGTGTTCCTAAACGATACATTAGTCTTGCTATCTTCCAACAAAAAACACAAAAACCAGATRAACACACGTTGATTCGTACGATTTTACATTATTATTATTATGCATATGATTTCTGTCGTTGTCATTGATTTTGGTATATTATAGTTTTATTTTTTTCTCCTTTTTCGCTCCCCGCGCTGCAGATGACGACGCCGTGTATTGGCGTAATCTAGAGAGTAGAGGGGGCGGCAACTACCACTTCAAATATTTCGCTGAGAGGGCAATAGTGTCTTTTTGCCCACCCCTTGTCATAAGTTTAAAGTAACTTTATTTTAACAAAAAATATACTATAGCACAATGCATCGTACCTATATTATATACGATAATATATAAGGTAATACATAGATAAATAAGATGCATAGAGTAATAATTAGTTTTAATAATTAGGTTTATATKGTTATGATATATATTGCAACATTGAAAGGAATAGAGGAGTTGATTTTGATAAAGTAATAGATGAATTTGATTATAATGCATCAATTCGTGATGGTCGATGACTTGTAGGTATTGAAATAAAATATTTACTATAAAAATTGTAATAAATTGTAATAAGACGTAATCTGTTTTATATACGTTTTATTTGTTAGCACGTACGCATAAGTTTTTGACCTGTTCGTATTCACATATTGACCGTCTAAAACTCTAAAAGATCAAATTATTATTTAGTTACCTGCAACAGCAACGTCAAAAGCCGAATTTACACTACACTCGCCTTGTAATCGACTGTAAGTTGTAGGTAACAATTGTTATCAATATTTGTATATTTATATATAATATGTAGGTACGAGACACGAAGACACGACACGGTGCGCAGGTATAGTGTGGTCCCGGCTTAAGACGATTTTATTTTAATTACCACTTCGTTTCACTGCGACTACCGGTGGCGTTACGATATCGCGGCACAACCGGTCATTATAATCACATAAACTATAAAGTGCCACACCCGGTTTGTCGTTCGACGACTGCGTCGTGTAAATTATTTTTTATTTATTATTTCAATAATGTTTATATACATATTGTAAAATATACTTGCATACTYACTACACTGTAAAGACATATTAATTTAACATTACATCGTTTTTGTGTCTCTATTAGCAACAACGACCATTATTATTAATAATAGTATACAGTGCTAACGCTAAGCAAATAAATTGCCACATTGGGCACTACAAGAATAAAATAAATAATAATAAAACTATGGTTCATATATACGCTTTTTTGATCTTATATGTTTGAGTATTTTCCTGTGTTTTTTTTATCTTCCGACCCTCCCGCTTACCGTTTTTTCCTTATGTATAATATCGTATATAAGGGATCCTGTAGGTATCCTCGTGGAAATATGAACATATTGTATTAAATATATAATATGTATATTGTATACATTGCGCATGTGACCGCCCAAAGAGAAGTGATGTTTTCAAAAGGCCAAAAACCACAAATGACTAGCGKATATACTAGTTACTTTGCTAAACTTTTYTGCAATTAACATAGAAAAAAAAGGTGAAAGGGTGTACACTGTACAATATGGTTGCCARTAGAACGTACACCTGATAACTGAAATATCAATGATAAAAATTAAATTTTTGTAGAAATTATTGAATTTTTGTTTACAAAATTAAAATCAGCCCAGCCTATATTATGTTCTACAAACTTATTAGGATTYAGGGTAGATATATTGTATATATTGTATACCTAACCTAACCTAACCTATGATATTATTATTGATACGTCGAGCATTTCTAGGCTATACGAGTATGTATGATTGACTCGCATTCAGTATAATTTACCATATGGTACTTATCATCTACTTGTCACACACACTGACTGCACGTTATCAAAATACTAGCTGTCATTTAAATGTCTCTTTAGTTTCCTCCATGAAACATGTCCGACTGTAGATCCCTTAGTAAAGCGACCAGTGTACAATAATTGTACTAACAGATACTTAGGTACACGATAACGTGGGATTACAATATTTYAGTAAAGTAAAATACAATTTAATATTCATTTTTATATTTGAAATCTGATTATAGTGCGTTATAACCATTATATAACTATTATCAGGTATAGCTGGTTTACATTAATAATAAACGCCATCGTCATTACCATCATTCATTGCCATACACAGAATTGTATTAAGCTGTAAAGTATATTGTATTATTATCACATAATATAGCTAGGCGAGCACAAATATCTGCGGATGGCGGATACAGTATGTTATAAAAAATAAGCAACTCAAATTTATTATCACCAGCCATATTTTCAATAATTACCAGATAATATTGTAACGAAAAAATATTTTAATACCTATTTAATATATTATCAGTGATCTATGAATTTATTATWATCCAAGACTAATACATAATATATGGCTATATTAATATTATTATATTAATTTTAAATGTTTTTTTTAAATTTTAAATGTCTCATGGTAAAATGTAATGGTTTGTAATGATAAGCTAATATTTATTTTTTGCTTGAAATATTTTCAGGGTGTTATATTTAAAACATCTACAGGTTGTATATACAACATCATTCAACGCCAAAATTCACTGATTACTAAAATTCAAAGATAACCCGCCGTAAATAAAACAATAAAGGACAAACAATAAGTAAAATTTGTAGCAGTTGCAGTTTTCAACAAAATCATAATATATTCATATATTATATAATAAAATGATAGTGTATGAGAGTATGACGTATAATAATATTATCCAATACTAAAAGCAACCGATTAGTATTATGATATACTTAATTATTTATGATAATAACATTAATTATCTATAATTATTTTTGTTTTGTGTAAATATTATGTAAAAAATATTTTAACTCAAAAACTAAGAATATAGTGGGTGCTGCATAATGTTATATAGTTAGGTATAGGTGCATAACTATTCTACTATTCGTGGTGTTAATATAGAAAATTTCCTAAACGGATACAATGTATTCTATTCCATTATATTTCTATCTTTTAAATTTAAGGAAATATGTTTAAGTTTCATTTTTAAATTATATTGCTATGGCTATTTAGTATTTATTTTACTGTAGTTTAGTTCATTATATTTATATAGGTAACCGTTACATAATACCGTAATGTTATAAGCTCATCTTGTTGACAAGTTTAAAATCTACTTTTTGATGGGGAGCAAGTGAAAACCGTTAGGGTAGGGGACGATATGGCAACTACGCCGTCATCGATCGATACAGACAATTAATTTATTTATATCGAGCATACATTCACTATATATTATTATTATTTATTATATACTTTTACGAAGTTGCACTTTAATATTTTTGAATGTAACATTAACCTATATAGTATTATCAAACTTAAATTTAAAATTATTATCTATTTTCTCTCGTTGGTTTTTTACGATGTTAAAAATATATTTAAGCGAGTAATGAGTAATATAATGAAAAATATTACATTTAGAACATTGTAAAAAGCTAAAGAGATAAAAATAGTCATGATAATTGATTTACATTTTACAGCTTTTATCAGAGTCTCCCTCCCTCCCTCCCCCTAATTTCCAATGGCGTGTTAGGGAAAAAATGTGTAAATATAAATATACAGTACAGTACTACTGGTATAGTCATCTCTAAAGTAGCCACAGTATACCTATACCTATGAATAATTTTGTTTTTCATCTTTTTAATTGATGACGACACTATTACGTATTTAGCTATTATATAATATTAATAATATATATTATATCGTATTTCTAACGTCACTTACAGACGATCCGCCATCGGTGGCCGCGGCCATTTTGATGTTATACGTACTTACTCGCGAGTACTATGTATTATATATACATATATATTAGAAAAGTATATATATTATATATATAGTTCGTCCCTTATTCGGTCGTCCGGCCCACTGCACGTCACGCGATTTGCACCGCTGCGTCGACGTCACGGATCGTCTCCGATCGAGACCATTCGGCTCCCCACACCCAACAAAAAAAATTAACCTCACACCAATACTGCCGTAGTCATGGTGGACGATTTGGAAGTCCACTGCCGCACGCACATAGGTTATCCATCTACGCTTTTGTCTTCCGCTAAGACAGACCGCCATCGCCACCATGCAGATGGTAACGCGAAACCGGTGACGCAGTGCAACGCAATCACTATAGTACAGTGAGTACAACACTTGGTATACCTAGGTATATAGAACATGTATATAGCTAGGTATCTGCAGCACACACGATAGACGATTTTTGTCGTAACTYAACCCACCACTAAATCCACATCAGCACCACGAATACCTAGGTTAATATTATATAGATAAGTTATGTGCCTTTATACGGAAATCGATATCGCCAACCACGTATAATGTTTCGTCAGCGATGATGTCGGGAACTGCACGCTATATACAGACGCCGAACTATCGAAACAGTCACAATACGTCTAACATGATGTGTWTAGGTATAACGTATATAAGTAAATTATAAAATTATGATAATGTATTATAACAACTCGTTGCGAGTTCCTATACCTATAGCTTTTTCAATAGATCGTATTATTATTATTATTATGTGCATACGACCAGAGAGTGTTATCGAAAAAAAAGTATACCGTATATTGCTCGCCAAGCAGTGCTCGTCTCATTGTTAAATAGGTATGTTATTACATATTATAGGTATATAAATAACTAGGTATACTTTGGAGTTTGGACATGCAGTTGCTGTGCTAGCCTGTGCTCGGTCGGATTTTCTGTTTAATCCCGCAATAATATCAAGACACAGAAATCGTGAACGCCTGTATTTTCGCATGATGTACAATAATATACGTGTATTTATACTATATACATTATACATATCAAGTATATACTAAGTCATATACTATATAATATACGACAGTAACAATATAAAATATATAAGAATAATCGTTGTACCTACCTATAACTATATATACCTATATTATACGCGCGATGTGCAATATAACCGATTTAATAATATCGTTTTAATTTATGACGATTTCACGCGACTTTATCATAAAAGTAATACGACAAAACGGGGTAAAAAGTAAAAACCGTGACAACTGCAGCCGAATGGACGTCGTGTATCTTGCTATATACGCGGAGAGATTTAAACGCGCGCACGCTGCAGACGGCGAGTGATATTACACACACACACACACACACACTCACACTCACACACATATACATATATTTATATGTATATACAACACTATTATGTACATCGCTGTGATAATATATTGCGACCTGTGTGTCTGCCGTGAGTCGTTGTATATAAATATTATCATACATACTACTACTACACACACACACACACAATATACATTCGTAAGTCGGATGGTTTATATATACATATTATTATGCACACATAATATAATATGTATACTTACGACATATATACACGAGTGTAAACGACTCGATAAGCCCGTGCGCGCGGATGTTATATATATTATTATAATATATTTATGTGCCCCTGTGATGTGTGTG